TATACTATTTACAAACGAGCTTGTTTCCCTAACCCTCAATATGTTCACAGTAATGTGTGTTCCCTTACCACGTTTATTTGAAAACACTGTGAGATGTTGTTGAAAATGGAAAATAGTAAATCAGTACCCAACTTGACTGTTAAATGCAGGACATTTCACTTCAAATGAAAAATCCCTCAGGATGTTCTAAAACCTTCTCCTGGAGCTCTTCTAGGGTTACTACCGGTTCCAAATCAGGATATAGAAGGAGGATTGAGAGTGGGATTAGCATGTCATGAAAAAGAAGCTTGCTAAATAGCTCTAACCAGAAAAATCATTTAAACCATGTTTTAAAAAGCGAAACTAAATTGTTCAAAAGAAACTTGAATATATCTGACGAATAATTTCCAAACCAGAAGTACAACTAAATAAAATTAGATATGTACAACCTATTTATTGAACTATATCCACAGAATGAGAATGTTATTTCATTTTCTTTATGTAATATTCCCCTATTGTACTTCTGTTATCAAAAGAGTTGAAGGTTAACCACTGACTTTTTCATTCAAAGGTTAGAGTCAAGGATTCTACCTGTTATGGTTTCCCCGGATCATAACAAGACAAAATAACCTTGAACCCATTCATTTCATTCACGTTATGTCTCATATTAATCAAGTGGTTTTACCTAACTCCGAAGACTATTTTGGCCTCAGAGATGAGAATTCTCGGGAATATGTTGAATAAAACACGTAGATGGTCGCCTTTCAGTCCTTAAAATATACATACTTTTACACATACATGTGTATGGGTATTATTTGGGCAAAACCAGTTTATCAAGGTATAAGGTTCTAACTTACTTCAATGAAAAATGTTGATTCAAATAAACATTACAACCACTTGTGTTCTTTCAAATCATATAAAGGCATAATTATTAATTGATTATTTAAGATTACTTTAAAAAGTATCCTAAAGATTGAAATGATATGGAAACTAATGTACCTTAGAAGTATTTAAGTGATGCTTTGTTCTCTAAGTTGAATGATTTATTACTAAAGCTTTGACAGCTTTTCCAGACAACAGTAATATATATTACTTTTGAAAGTATATACTGATAAAGATTAAAATTCAGATAATCAGTATAAAATTGAAAATGCTTTCATCTCTATAATCAATTAATAACATGAAATATTGATTTGACACTTCAGTTCCTGATTTGTATGATAATGATATTCTTGTACATGAATTATTATCGGAAAAACAAACTTGATCATGTATTCATGCAATAACGATGTAAATTATGCTTTTTTTCTATTACACAATGTAGTGCTACCCAAAGAACTGATTGGAATTATTATCTGAGAATGTTTTGTAAGTTAAAATTAATTTGAAGACAATAACTAACCTGATTTTAAAAAAAATAGTTACTACGTTACAAATTTAAAAAGTAGAATTTGCGGACGATTGAAAACATTAAATGAATGCTGACAAATTCAAGATAAATATCACATTGTTATTTGAAATGTCCATCTCATTAAAATGAATGTACATGTATGCGTATGTATGGAACATCCGTGTAATCCGTTTGTACGTTAGAAACAAATGGAAATTTTATGCATATTTTCAAAAATACTGCGGATTAGAGAAAAGTGAAAATCACATCTGCTTGTTATCGATATGTATATAGTTCTGATAATCTTCGTCTTCTTATTACACTATCAACATTTATCAAAGGAACAAACTACTTTAAATATATAAAGGTATTTTCACATCTAAATGAAAAAAATATACTACTTATCCACAGTGATTTTTCATCACAGTCGACGTTATTTTTGTTAATAGTATTGTGGTGTGTGTTACTGATGTCGACGGATATAAGCAGTATGTATCACCAGTCAAAAGTGGAATGCTTGGAGGTAGAACGTTGAGAAAATCAAAGAAAAAAGAACGAGAACAGAGAGAGATTGGTATGGTGATGAAGGAACGATAAAATCTGAGACGGTTAATTGACATTTTGTAAATAGAGTATTCACTATGTAGTTTTCAAATTTTATCAAGAAATTCTGTAATGTATTGAAATACGTTTGGTCGTTCCCACTGGTGTTCTCGTTCACCACAGTATTATAATTCTACATGCGAGAGAGGTTATTGACTTATTATTACTAAGTTTTCTGTTGTTTTGTATTATTGTTATTACTATGTTAATTATCCGAGCTTAATAAACTAATTATGTCTTTATATTTTATGTAGGGAATTCTCCATTGCTTATATGTCTAGGTCATAGGGCTCATCTATAACCTTAAGTGAACTGATGCTGTCTGTGTGATACGAATTCACGTCATAACACTTCACATCCTTAGACGTTAACACTGAGCCACTCGGTCCCCGACACCTTACAGACGAGTTCTAAATAGCACGGGATACAGGTCCAGGGTTTTCTATCGACTTCCTCCAACTAATTAACATCTTATCAATAGTGAACGTAATATTGTTTCATTTAGAATAATGTTGTTGTTACGACTTGATCGATAGGAACCGATTAGCACTAAAAGATTTGACAAAGATGACATTGCTCACTAATCATTGATAAACCAACTTTAAATTATGAATTTATTCACCCTTATTCAACTTGACAGATGCATTTACATACTCTAGAAAACTAGCTAACAGTATGGTTTAATTTAAGCGTTTTACCATCTAGGTCATTTAGTCTGTAACTAGGTTAAATGAGTTTGGGTCATTCATGATATATTCTTAATTGTTTCTATTAGTCAAGTATATGTTCTAATCACGTAATCATATCGGATTATAAAAGTAATAAAAGACAAAAATATACAGCGCTGTTATTTTAGAGCTACTTTTCACAACAGCTGATACAACAGTTTCATTTTGGTTTTTAAGTTCACAAAAATCCATACTCATATCCACTCACAAGAGGATATCAGATCATTTAGATACCGTGTGAAAAACAAGATACCTTTATGCCACTAACACATCATCAGTCAGGTACAACCAAGTAGATTGTGAAATATGTCTCATAGATGATCTCGAAGCCAAATTACAATGTGACTGACGTTGAAAATGTTATCTATTTAGTTCCAATTTAATAAATTAATTATATTGTGTATGCTTTCATTTAAAGACTATGGATATACTTCATGAAATTCAGTTATGATTGTTCTGTTTTAAGATTGATAAGTTTCTTCCATAGAAGTTTTATGGGATATTGATTAACTTTGTTTCCGGTTACTAGAACTTAAAAGCCTAACAACTTATTTGAAACTGTTAACATTTCATATGTACAGAACCATTTTCTATGCCACGTTTTGATGTTGCTACGTGGTTGGAACAACCTTATTGAACAATCTGTTCTGTTGTTGAACCAATCTTGAATGACTATTAGTCAGAATATTTGACTATTAAGATGAAACTATGAAACACTGATTTCAAATAATAATTAGCATGGATTTAGACCAACCATTTCAGTCGCGCCTTCAGGTTTAGTTAGAAACTTAATGACGCTGGTTAGCTTCGTTAACCTTGTGATTCATAAAGTGAGATTTAAAGCAATACAGTTTTAGAGTTTGTCATGTTCAGATCTATATTTGAAAGATTTAATAGATATTCCTTGATAAATTAGAGAACAGAATAAGCTAAAAACTCAAGAGAACTTCATATGAAATCTATCACGAGAATTTTTAACCAGTTCATTCGAATAACGATACCATGAGTAGTATTTTGAGAAAAATTCTGTCTAATGAATCATAACTGATCACTTTAACGAAAATCCTTTTTTTTAATTTATGTTAGAAAACGTAGTACTGACTTCCAAAGCAAAAAGTAAATATTTTAAGAAAAACCCATCTTCGTGTTTGGTGACTTTAGAGACTAGAGCTTTCATCAGTTTCATCAAACATCTTAGTTGGCTAAAAGAATAACCGAAATGATTTTCATCGTTCAAGAGGAAACATATTTACAAGATTAATCAATATGATCTATTACGGTCCTGAAAAAGCTATCATCAGCTTCAGCAATAAATCAGTTCTTGTTACAGATGAGGAACAGTTGAAGTAGACCAGTAATAATGCTTGGATCATGATTAGGATATTCAGATCTCATAGTAATCATATTATCTACCTTCAAACTCAACAATCACCTCTAAAAAACCACAAAACTTAACGATAATCATGTGTTCACTAGTTGACTAACTTCAGAATTGAGTTCCAGAAAGTTCTAGTTCAGTCTACCGTTAACTACAAGTCATATTGAAATGTTCATTATTTATTTGACAAGGAACATTTGTCATTACAGACCTTAAAATATTTAATTTAGAAATGTATCATAATTCAAAATAAATAAAAATTTACCAGTGTGTAGATTCTCGAAAATTCATAATATTTTAATAACTGGTCAAACCAATTCGAAAAACATATCATTAAGATCAGTATGGGGGTCTGCGGAGATTGTAATGATTTCAATAGTTGAATTTATGAGTCGATGTACGCTAGATCATCATTAAAAACTTGAAAGCACAAGATGTCTGTTTCAGTCTAGTATGGGACTCTTCAGAAGTGCGCATCTACGGTTCTGCATACGGGACTCGAAACCAGGACCTTTGGTTTTGCGTGCGAATGTTTAACCTCATGAATTTAACCAATGAAATATCATTAAATTTAAATTACGCAACAATATAACATCAGGCTGTTGATTAATTTGTAAAACAACTTGACAATAGTAAACAAATGTCGTTAACTAATTACTTTTCAATTATTTTTCTTTTTTTCATTAATTATTTCAAGAGATGATCGTAACAAAAGTGTCATCTATCAGCTTTAATAAAGCTGATATATATTTATATATTAAAATGTGATGTTGGAAAGAAATTCTACCGTAGTGCCATGTTTGAAGCGATTACGAGTTCAGTTAGTCTGCGAACGGAACAAAGGCTTGTGACCAGTAAACTAGCCATTCTATTGCGTCCTAGGCCCGCTAACTAGAAAAAGATGTCGAAGTTCGAACAGGGAAGTATATTCCGCAAAAAGCCAGAAACACGAGCGATAAGAACAGACACAAATCAAACGTATATATACAGCATAAAACTGTCATTGGAAAGCGTTACAAATTAGCATACTGAAATACACAACGAACCGATAACGTTAAAGATTCTCCCAAGTGGGAAATACGACATGAAGGTGAAAAGGGCGTTTTTGGCGCAAAAACAAGGAAATTCAAATTTTCAAAATAAAATTGCAAAATTAAGGCATTTACCAAATGAGTTCTGGGGATCTTAAATCCCTAACACGTAGTCAAATATTTGAAAAAACAAACAAAATAAGTCATTAAATTAGAGCTGAAAATTATTTACAAATTTTGATGTGTCAATTAAATGAAAGTGAAAAAAAATAAGATGAGCATGTAGTGGTCAGTATTCAATATAGTCCTTAAACTTGGTGTACAGTTCATCCTGATAACCCTCACTAGATAACGATCCAATGGTGTATTAATCAGAAGGCGAACACGAAGTGCTGATCACGTTTATATTATTGTACTACGCACAGATCACCAAAATTACAGGTACGTTAAGCAAGCATGAAAAAGTAGTGCCGAAAAGCAAGAGGACAAACGAGTGAACATTATTAAAATGTACATGCATATACACATAGTGAAATGAATGAATCATTGAATCAGTTAAGCAACAAATAGTAAGGCTAGCAGAATGAATATACACGTAAGCAGTAAGCAATGCTCAAGCGTACATATTCATACAAGTGCAATAATAATAAAGGTATAATGGCATAGGTAAATTGTTACTGTAGAAATGACTCCATCCGTTAAATAAGTTAACAAAACGGCTTAACTAAATTAAATGTGAACAAACTCAACTGCACGTGAGCTGCTATAAACGATTTGTTATGTGAAATAATCTTAAGCAATAAGATACACACATTTTATGCAATAAAAGAATTTAACAAAATTTAAACTGTTACTATAATCTAGTTATTAAATTAATAAAAGAAACTTGGTAAACGTTTAGTGTTTTATATCATGTGAAATCAATGAAAATGTTAACAATATTGATGAATGAGGTAAGATTCAGCTTTAACATTATGGATCGATGAAATTCACAATTTTGTAGAGATCTATTTCAAAAAGTTTTCAACATGAAGTTACAGTAATTGAAAAACTATTGAAAACTAGAAAGTGAAATAGAGCTGGAGATCATCATGCCTCTTGGTGGGTATAATTGTTTAGAATATACTAAGCTGGATAGAATCCAGTATTATAGATTTAGAATTTCAGTCAATTTATGGTTTATAGCGATAATTATTTAATTTAGTCAGTATTATCTGTCTCAGACACAAATTGACTAGACTCCATCAGCCACAATTTCTCACTGAAATCTTGGTAGTTCATCTAGAAGTTGTAACTAGTGAGGCTCAACCAAGTTGGATGTGAGTTGTTTATCACCGAAGTAAGATGAAAAAAAGTATTCAATGCTACTTGATGATTAGTAGTACACTACTAGTATTCAGTTATGATGCAAACAATCTTTAAATAGAAACATTGTTTACAATGAAAGATTCATTTTAGTCACATTAACTGGAACTGAATGATCTCATACTAATCGAATTGAAATCCTGTAGTAGATGTTCATTTTGGTTTACACTTATTATCATCAAATCCATTAATAGGATACTTTGAATCTAAACACACTGATTAAGTGAATTTAAATATAATACATTGATAATTCAATCATACGTTACGATACGATATGTGAGAATCAGGAGCAATAGTTAGGTTTTACTTTCACTAAAGTGTGAATAACCTACGAAATTCGTACTAAATGTTCACTTATATGTTAAGTGTTTATAGTATTACAAGTAAAATATTACGAATATTTTATTTTGTGGGCATTGAAAGAAAAAAATTAAATGTTTAAATAATGTTGTTGTCTGCTTCTGTTTTCATAATACAAAAATGGACAGAACATATTATCACAAATTCTTCAGTCACATTTCCACGAAAAAATATTGAAAATAACACCTTAAAATGCACAGACCACATAATTATGGACCGTAGTGATCGATATCATATTATACTTCGAAACACCGATTTTCAGTCAGCATAATAGCACAGCCAATAATTAGTTTATATTTGTATGAAAGAACCAACCAATATGTTCGTGACTTAATTATGATCAGCACCTTCCCAGATTTCTCACAATGGTCTTACAGCAAAAACTATTTCCTATGTTATCTAGTATTTCATATGGAAGTATCTGATCAACACTTCCTCCATAGAATAAGCACAACAGCTATTTCTTTTATATTTATTAATTCAACTGAGACTGTAGAGCAAGTGGCATCAGCCGATGACCCAGGAAACTACATTTTCGTGTCTATAAACAGCTCCAAGTCCAGATAAGTAAATGAATAGTTAAGAATGCAAACAACTCGACCTTAGCACATTTAGTTCAAACAGACCAAAAATATTGCATGGACAAGTTACTCCTAATAATCTCATAAAGGCGATTAGGCTCAAAGTCCTTCAAATGGCATAATAGTCATAGAAAGTGAAAATACCGGAGTTATGTAGATGTATGTTCTGTCGCTTCTCTTACCTTGGTAAGTCTCAAAACACAATTATGAGATAATCGAATTTGCAAACGTTTATGTCCTATCCTTGGTTAAATGGTCACTACACACACTCTCTACTTGAAATAGTAGCATGATCATCTTTAAAAACGTAGTGATCTAGACAACAAACATTTATGATGTGGCGAAAAGGAGTTAAGTGTGGTAATCAAGTGTTGACTTTATTGACTAATCCATACCATACAGACCGTTAATCTACAAACACAGGAAATTCAAGTCACATGGATCGAACATGAAATTAGAACAATAACAGACTAACAATGCACAAGAAGTTGGGCACCCACCCTATTCAGGACCAAAACCTACTGAAGGACTCGCGCTGCATGAAAAATAGGGGAAACACACGTTTGTTCCGTTCCCAGTAAAATAGCTAACAAATTGATATTTCATCATCAATTCACCCCTAAAAATCAAGTCATCCTGCTATAAAAAAAGACATTTTGGTAGTCCTTTCATGTCAGTGTTACCAACATAGCGACACAACTAGTCTATTTCATCCTACACACATTGAAGGTAGACAAGTGAACGTCCACTTCATTGAAAACATGGACTAGCGGTGAAATATAATATATTACCACTTATACCAATCCACATACGTAAATATGAACACAAATCAGGTTGGGTAAACGTAAAAATTATGAATTAAGGAAGTTCCGAGAATGAAAGACAGTTGTTAAAGTCGTAGTATCGGTTAAGCCCACATAGCTTACTCTAGCTTCCGGACAAGCCAGTCTATTCATTATTTTTGAGTCACATTTTGACCTTGTTAATTACAAGCTTATCAACCTTGACTGTTTTTATGTGTACGTGTGAGCACATCTTATCGTATTCATCACATGTCTGTAACTTATTTTTGTTCGGCTATAAACATCGATTAATGCTTGATTAAATCGAGTTGGCTTACGCGCCTTCTTCACTGCGCGTCATTTCATTTCGCTTCGCTCTCCTCTTCGTTCCTCCGATTGTCTGTCCAGATCAAAGTGTACAAAATACATGTATTCGAATTCCATTCTCATATTTATTTAATTTCGTTATTCACTAACGCGAATTAAGTCGGTAATTCTATACGACGATTGACAATATGTATGTCTCAATATCAATCAGAAATGATCTCACTGGAGTCAGATCCCGGGCCACTAAAACTTCACCCTCGTATATAGGAGGATTGCGTATTAGTATTAGATACGGACACTGCAAGTCACAATATTTTCAACTAATTATTCCTGAAAAGCTTAACAAACAAAATGCCTTAACCACTTTTATACAAGACATTCAAGGTAATTTTAAACAATATCCACTAAAGCAGTAGCTCATTCTAATTGAAATAAACACAAGTTACTATTACAAACCACTGTTTCATTAAAGAAAAGACAAATGTATGAAAAGAGAAAAGAAATAAGCTCAGTAAATTGATACACAAGCGCTAATCAATCATCCAACTTAAGAATGCAAATGTTACAAGTAAAGTAATAATATTAAAAATAGTAATGATAAAAGTAGTAACATGTTGCAATATTAGTAATAGCAATAACAATGACGAGTCTAACAACAAGCGGTATCATATGCAATTAATAGTTGCATAACCAATTAAGACTATAAATAATAAACAGTATACGTATATATTATATTTGTACAAAATTTTATCACAGTAGAGATAAAGAAGAATGAGAAATGCAAGTTCATGACTAGTAAAATGAGTATTTTTACCTAAGATATTCTAAGTCATAGAATATCAGTAAGAAGATAATATATACTTATGGAAACTACGTACTTGGTAAGAATAGTGTGTAAAAGAGATGAAATGAAAAAGCACACAATGAATGTTATACATGTGTGCATACATACAAATGGAAATAATCCCTGGAAAGTATGAAAGTTTTTTGTTTTGTATATTGTATTGTTTGAACAAGTAATAGATAGAATTGAACTTTTAAAAGAAGATAAAACATTAATATTGCATGCATATATAAGAATAGTGTCTTTTTCTTAAATTAAAAAAAAAACGAAGTCAATTTAGCGAAAAAGAGAGAACTAGATAGAAACAAATTACTGTAAATAAGTAAGTAAATAAACAAATAAGTTAATAATTATTCTAAGTAAATAGATAAGTAATATATATATGCAATTCACTAGGGACGGTGCTTTTTATTGTGATACAACTTTCAAGAGAATAGGGCAATGCAAAAGAAAATTGAATTGACACAACAAGTAACATTCACAGTGATAGAGAGAAATTAGTTTATGGGGGTAGTGTAGATGTTAAGAGAAATATCATGCATTAATTTCACTCTTGGAATGATTATATTTATGTACATATGTCTAGATAGCTATCTACATACATATGCAGACTTACAATTATATGATCAAGTTAAAAGTAAATGAAAGTAGACAAACTAATAAATGCATCATTACAAGGATATTCTGACAATAGAACAGAACGCTGAAACTTAAGTAAAAAAAGGTTACTATTATTAATATTATATGGTGTATCAAGGAATAAAAGAATGTAAGTATTGAGATATGTTTTCCTTTTTTCGCATACAAAGTATACAAGCAAAAAAAAAGATTTGATAAGATCATTTACTATGAATTTTGTGAACACAGAAATGATTGTGAAATATATATATAACTTCTTGATCTTCCATTACGACTAAAAACTCGGGAAATTTACGGTGTATGTGAAGTCATGAGTAGGCTATTAAGTGGTACTGTACAACAGTAAGCAGGTACAGATTTGGAGCGATGCATAACTTTACGAGTAGATGTACATTTAAATTCGTTTTGCCAAGGTGACCAATGAATATCAGCTTTTTGTTCGACAGTTGGTCGGTGATCAGCACTAACAATAGACGATCTACAAGATGGTATAAATATACTATGATGAGGAGTTGATGAAGTAGGTTGAGGTGTATCTGTTCGATCATTTTGCACATTAGAAGATATAGGTGAATTTAATACACGACCATTAACCATATATAAACCCTGAGAATGCCGTTTGCGTAGACGGTGTTGGCGATAAAGCCGGTGACATTTTGCACAAATAATACATGGCACAGCAACCATGATAAATGGAGCAGCAACCAGTAATAAAATCGTTAATCCAGTAAATACACTGACAACCTGATTTTAGGTGTAAACAAAATACATAAATAAACAAGATAATAGTCTAACAATTCGTGAAAGAAGACTAGTATAATTTACCGTTACTCACAACAAATCAATCGAAAAAATTACTAGCTTTACAAAAAGAATCAATCGTAATTGGATAAGTAATGAAATCAAGAAGAGGGATAAGTTGATGCCTGTACCCACCTTTTCATGTTATGTAATGTAACTTTGGAGTTAGACTCAAACTTATTGAAACCGCTAACTAGGATGACATATACTCAAATCAGATGTTTGTCTATATCAGATTTATGCAGTCACAACTTTCAAGACAATGAGTAGAAGACTTTGAACCTGAGTTTGACACTGGTTTGGAATTATCAGTAAAGGATATTTACAATAGTGTGAGAAATGATGTTTAACTAAGACATTTGAACATGTCACTAACTGGGTTATTTGAGCCGCTTACCGTCAGAAAAAGAAGCTTAGGCTAGTAGAATATTGCAACATAAAGGTGGAAGCCCTCACTAAAAAAACACAAACTTATTACCATAAAATCATTCCGTCAAGCACATAAAACTGAAAATATTTTAAAAATCAAATTGTAACTATGCCTATAAGTCAAAGGTAAATATGAAAGATTTCACACAGCAGTAATAACCTATGGAATGAAACCTGACGTCAATTTGATAAATTAAAAAAATACCGAAATGCTATCATTCTATACAATAGTTTAGTAGTAAAGTAGAATTGCTGTGAAAATATACAAACCTTGATCGTTATAAATGCTTTTCAGTGTTATTAAGTCATACGTTCAAACTCTGGCCATTCAATTCAACCTGAGAAACCGCATAGCACCATTAATCATTACATAAAATTTATACCTTAAAGACAAGTGTGTAAACATGTATATGTAATCCTACCTACAAAAGTTAGACAAGTTAGTCAGTCGCAAGCAATGTAAGACCTGGCACAAATATACATCACGCGAAGTTGCCACACCAAGTTAGTAAAACAAGATATCAACAAAGACATATCAAAGAAGCCAAAATAATAGCGCCATTTTTGTTAATTTGTAAAGAAATAAAACCAAGAAATAAAAAAGAGATTAACTAGTACTACTACTCACGATTTATGGGAAGATGAAGAAAAAATTTATGTTAATGTGGTCGACTTTGAGCCATATTGCCTGACGTCACCAAATCACTAATCATGACTATCACGTGAATCATGATATGTAAGTGTGTACCTCGTTAAAAGGCTTAAACTAATACACTAGTATACTATTTAATCTGTTATAATCTCTTTCTTATGGTATGACCCAGCTATTCCTATTGCTTAGTATTCTTGGACATCAAATCACTCGACAAGTCCCCAAATCAGAACACGGTTGAACAGGAAAAAGATTACATTCCAAATAACAAGGTCAGATGGAAGCAAAAAGCAAGTAAGAAGTGCAATAGGGAAAACGCTAGTATATTTATAGCTTTTCACATGATGGACAATCGCATAGTCAAATAGCCATTTATCTCAATATTTTATTAATTGAAAGATTTGATGTGATAATGATTTTTAATTGAAATCATCAAGTTTTTACCAAATCTTTATAAATAGAAATTTCTGCTTAAAAAAAACGAACACTCAGAAGTGATAAATATAACTTGATAAGTGAACGACGGGACTGAGGTTACCAGCGGTACCCAAGCATTCTCGGCCATTTTTCCGTTTATTTAGTGGTCAAACTCTGTAAACAAGAGTGTGATTTTCACTGAAGATTTGATTTTAGGCTTTAACTCTCACCTCATCCTGCACATTGAAATGTGGTAAACTGATATGTTCACCGTAAACAGATGTGGATAAACTCAGACGCTTAAGATGAAATCTCCAATGAAGACTACACCCTTAAATGTATCACTTACCCACTGGATGAATGAAAAAATACCTGAGAATGTTAGATATTGAACACTTACTGAATGTTGAAAAACAGATGGATAATATGAACCAATGAAAGTGATGATTTACAACGATTACATAAAATTCAACTTTTTTTCTACGAAATTCCTAAATCTTGCCAAACGAAATGAGATCAAAAATTGTTAATTAAAGCGTTTGATTTAATGAAAGCATACTTAATCAATGCATAGCAAAACCGCAACAGATAATAGTATTTCCAATTAAGGAAATTGTGAAGAATATAACCAACTTTTTTACACTAAAATAACTTACATAAACTCGATGACCAATTACTGATGCACGAGAATGACCAAGTTTTCCTTTACAGGCCCCGTCATCATAATGTTGAAGAAGGAAATCATCCTGGAAAATAAAGTATCAGTGAAAAAAATTTCCGATAAATTACACTGACAAAGCAATAATTGATAAATATGACAAATAATCTCCATTAGAACATTAAGAAACATGAAGTTCAGTGAAGGGATTACTAAGTTAACAAAGGATTATAATGTGTATGGAGTAAGACAATTAAAATGTAAATTAAGGGAATATCGAAGAAATCTACACAGAATGAACATATACCAATAAGAGACTGATTAACTGAAGTCCATAACATCAATGGGAAGATTCAAACAAACAATGCAAAAATGAATTATTAATATATATGATTGTACAGCTTGATAATAAATTCATTGAAAAGAGCCCCCTTCTCTGAACTTCATGTTTTTTAAATATGACAAAATCGTATAAAATCCATGATCTATGAAATACTGTCATTCAAATAAAGTTACCGTGAAAAATTTTAAAATACTGTTGTAACGGGTGTGACTGCAGGTTTTGATAAGCAGCGTATTTATCCATCGATTACAGTGGACAGTGACACGTAAAACACGTAGTGGACGACCCAGTGCCCTGATTGGCCCTGCTTCGCTGTCTGTCCTAGCCAGTTGAGTCAAGAATACAAGTCACAGCCTCTGAGTTATGAATCACTATATTTCAAACATACTTTGTTTATATACCAATCAAGCATACCACATCGTACCATAAAATAGAAAACAACATTTTGTACAATATTCAACGAGTGAACAGATATCGACCAATAGGAGATGTTCATTTAAAGTCCAAGGACACCATTGGACTTAACATGATAATTATTGGTCTATTCCTCCGCATCCACAACAAATACTATAAAAAGATACTATTTGAATTTTATTTTTATAAAGAACTTATATTCCTTAATAGTACTTATGAGCACTGATAATATAATTTCTAGTCTAAGTTCCAATTGTCTTGTGTAAAAGAACTTTTGTTATTTTACCGATATATTTAAAGAATCATACTAATGCAACTATTTATTGACGGGATTTCTATCATGGTTTGAGGTCACATGGAAAATTATTTACTTTATTTAGTTACTACTGCCAAAAGAAAATTGTTTAGAAAATAAAAAACCGGGATTTAAATCTTAAATCACTCTCAGTGTATTTCTACGCATAAATGTTAAGTTATGGGATAACTTGTTTACTTCTATGACATAGGTGATCGTTTATTTTGTAAGCTTACAGTTTTAAATGAACTTCATCTATACATAAATGAAAAGCAATTTCATGTTTTACAAAATAATGTAGAAAAATTTAAGGCAGTTTGAACAATAATAACACCACCAATAGCTCTTCTAGAGATACTGCCGGATCCAAGTATGGGTAAAGGAGAAGGGTTGGACTTCGGGACGGCAACCCCAACACACAGAAAAAATTCCTGTTAAAAAAAGCTAACCACATTAGACAAATTAAACCATTTAGCCTCCGTCCTCTGAGTTGAAAGAAAAATTATGACGCCACATGATGAAAGCCGAGATTCTTGAGAAGTCACGAGGCCAATAACCCTTTTAACAACCAGAATAACGACTAATATAGGTACATAAAATATCCGAACAATGTAGGAAACCAGACTTTACTTACTTTCGCCTGTTAATCCTAATGGAGCATAGGCCACCGACCAGCATTCTCCAACACACTCTGCTCTGGGCCTTCCCTTCTAGTTCTATCCAATTTTCGTTCATTCTTTTCATATCTGTCTTCATTTCTCGACGTAATATAATCCTTTGTCTCTCACTTCTCCTTTAGCCTTAAGGATTCTAAGTGAAGGCTTGTCTTGTGACGCAGTTGGGCATTTTCCTCAGTGTGTGTCCTATCCACTTCCAGAGCTTCTTCCTGATTTCTTCCTCCGCTGGAATCTGGTTTGTTCCCTCCCATAGTAGATTGTTGCTGATGATGTATGGCCAACGAATCTGAGGTATTTTTTTTATAGACAACTGTTGATAAACACCTGTATCTTCTGGATGATGGCTTTCGTAGTTCTCCAGCTTTCCGCCCCAGTAGATAGTAGAACTGTCTTGACATTTGTATTGAGAATCCTGACCTTGGTGTTGGTTGACAGTTGCTTTGAGTTCCAGATTTTCTTCAATTGTAAATGTGCTGCTCTTGCTTTTCCAATTCACGGCTTCACATCTGCATCAGATCCACTGTGTTCATCAATGAGGCCGCCCAGATATGTAGAGGTTTTTACATCTCCCAAAGCTTTTCCGTCAAGTGCGATTCGATTGGTGCATGCTGTATTGTGTCGGAAAATCTTGCTTTTCCCTTTGTGTATGTTGAGACCTACTGCTGCTAAGGATGCTGCTACGCTGGTTGTTGCTTCCCCCCAGAAACCAAAAGGACAAATCAAATAGATGTCGAAATGAAGAGATAGATTAGAGAGAGATCATGCTGCACTCTGGTCACTAACACGGAAATGCCCCAAACACTCACACAGTTGCTTTGATGCTATACAAAGAAGCATGTAAACCACTTATAGGATGGGAATCTTTTGTGGCAGTAGATCTGATTCCATTTAGAGCGTATGGAAGATGGCTGGGAAGCCAACTCCATCTTTGTCAAGCGTTACTCAATATTTATAGTCAGACAAAATAAAGCTACAGACATGTGATTAATGGAATAAGAAGGGCACAAACATATACGCTCATATAAAAACAGTCTAGATTGATAAGCGAATAAATAACAAGGTCAATGTATGGCTCAAGTAAAATGAATAGAATGGGATGTCCGAAAGCTCGAATAAGGTATATGGGCTTGGCATAATAACTGACACTACAAATCTCATGCATCCACAATCACCAAACCATTATTTAAAACAACGAATAAGACTATCACAACCCAAGTTATCAAGTGTTATGCACCCACCAATGATAGTAGTCAACATGATAAACATCAGTTCTACGGGAGCCTGCAATTAACCATAGTGAAGTGATCAGGAAACGACCTGAACATTCTCATGGCACACCTAAACTCCAAAGTCGGAATACACAACACCGGCTATCAAGATATCATCGGACGACATGAACTCACTAGGAGAAACGAACGAAAATGGTGACAGATTTGCAGATTTATGTGCATCCAACAAAATCTTTATAGACGATACAATATTCCTACACAAAAACACACACAAAGCTACACTGATCTCACGAAATCACACTACACACAATCCGATCCATCATATTCGCATCACTAAAAAAATTCACAAGATGCACGAAGACGTGAGAACCAGGAGAGCAGCTCACATGGATTCAAATCACCACCAACTGGTGGTTGCCAACATGAAACTGAAGCTAAAGAAGTACTCGACAAATGCAGAAACAGCATCACAAAGGTTCAATACACACTTCCTTCGACATACTGACAAACTCAACCAATTCAAGATAACTCTCAACAACAGCTCCCAAGTCCAACAACACATACTCAAACAAGAAAAAACTACTATGGAAAACAACTGGAAAGAAATACCAACACAATCATATTTGATGGAGAAACTCTGTAAATGGTGGAAACTTTCATATACCTGAACAGCAGCATCATCAATGAACGAGGAGGATCTGATGCAGACGTAAAGAAAAGCATTGGCAAACAAACAACAGCATTCATACACTTCAACAACATATCCAACTAAAAACAACTCTCTGTCAACCAATATCAAAGTCACAAGATTCAGTACGAACGTAAAAACAATTCTACTGGACAGAGATGAAACTTATAGAACTAATACAACCACCATCGAAATAGTACAAGTATTTATAATCAATTGTCTACTCAAAATACTCAATGTCCCTTGTTCACCAGATACCATCAGCAACCGCCTTCTGTGGCAGAGAACAAATCACCCTCCAGTTGAAGAGAAAATTAAGACAAGACAATGGAAGTGGATAAGACATATATTGTGGAAATCACCAAACTGCATCACGAGGCATACACCATACACCAACTTGGAATCCTGAAGGGAAACGGAAAAGAGGGAGACTAAAGAACGCAATGCGTCGAGAACTGGAAACAGACACGAAAAGGATTAATAGAAATGAGAAACTGTTGGAAAGAATTGTCCAAGACAGAGTTGGATGGAGAATACTGGTGAGCGGCCTATGCTCCTCCATGAGGGTTAACAGGCGTAAGTAAATGATATTGTGTTTCAGCCAAAATGCAACAATATCCTACGTAGAAGTAACTGTTACCTTTATTATAATTCTAAACGGTCGACTATTCATAATTGGTATTTGTTTTTTCTAAACTCCGAAACTTTCATGAATGTGATTGGACTCATTCGTAACATTTACTTGATCGCTTCAATATTCAATCAGTACATTAGGTTCGTTGTAAGAGTTAATATTACCATGAACCAATCGTAATCATCAACACTTTTTACTTTAACTCCTAGGTTTAAATAACATTGATAATGAATTTCCAGTACTTGTCCTATATCTTTATTCACTGTGATAGATTCATGAGAAAATAAACATACTTGTGCTAATTATTCAAAAACGTTTTCAAATCGAAACAGATATCCATGACAATAGTTATGAAAAGCAAGCACAGTTATTTCAAATTTAATCAATTAAAGCAGTACCAGGCCTACATATATGTAAGTGCAGACCGAACTCAGTCAAAAGTTAAATGACCAGCGTAACAATATTATTTTATGAAATGTACTTACATCCAATGAAGTCAAACAATACCAGCAAAAGGTATGTTTGCATGACCGGCACATCATTTGAGCGCAACCTTCGATACGTTCAATAGGGACTAGGCAGGCAGGACAACGTTTCAGCCAGTCATCAGGAGAATATGGAGGAAACCCAACGGCAAGAACGGAGACATCAATTGTATCACTGATATCCTGATTGGAAAGATGAATACCTGCATGACTCTGTAAATAATTACGCCGTTTTCTTTTGGATCGCCGGAGTGAGACTTTATTTATTTTGTTTTTCTCTGGAGGTTTTCTCAAGGATGGTAATGACTTGATGATTTCTGGATTTTGCATTACAGACTGTGACTGGTGTTTCTGAAATGTAATAGGATCTGGTTCTGAATGAGGGTTAATATGATCCGAGGCATTTACATTTTCCTCCAAAATTCCAAGTAAATTTTGTTCACTAGTAAATTGAGTGCTTAAATTTTTATTTCCCTTGACAACGTTACGAGGATATTCTTCACACACATACGGTCCAACTCCGATGTGCCAGTTTAAATGACATCGAGCACAAAATTCATGAGAACACTGTTTGCATACGACGCGTACCGCTGGGCGACCAGGACTCACTTGACACATCAACGTTCTTTTTTCAGATATATGGAGTAAATCCTTCTCTCCAGCACCTTCACTGGTGGGTGTCTACAGAAAGAAAATGTTAACAGCTGTGAAATAAATGCAGAATTTTTCAAATTTTGAAATTACGGATTCTTTCCATCATGCAAACAGCTTTTACAACTTCGTAAATTGGTGTTAAATTATGGGAAATAACCAAACAAACAATAAACTTTAAAACTATGGTAAAAAAGAGGTTACTTGCCAACATTGAATACACAATACAACTAAATAACCATAGCACGAGACACATTTATCGTAAGGCATTACCATTATAATAAGTGAGATATGAGAACTTTCACAGAGTGCAACTTAATCAAACATGATATCCAACTGAATACATAACCGACAATATTACGCGAAATACCACATCGCAGAAACTAAAAATTCAATGTCCTATAAATATATAGTTTAGTGACAGAATAACTAAACCCAACGTTTCACGTACCAAAACCAAAAAATTGCACAAAACAAACAGGAAATAGCACAATTAGTTCACTAAATCAAGTTGAATAACGAAATAATGCTTACCGTTACACAATCTTCTTTGTCTTCATCCCTGAGATTACTGATAGGCTTGTAATATGCGTTATTTGGAATTTTTGATGTGTCATCGGCATGAAAACTCGTACTTTTGGTGCTGGGAGAAACATGAGTGGTATCTCCTTGTGAACTGCAAAGATATCTTCTGTACCATCTAGTAAACCGTTCCAAAGCATGTTTATTACTTCTGGTAGATGGGTTTATTCCATTTCGTATGGGTACTTTTAAAATAGAAGGAATCTGGCACACAGCACCACAATTTACTGCTGGGCAAAATGTTAGGTTTACATTCTGCTCGATTTCTGAATATTTATGTTACAGTTGGGAAAAATGGACAACAAACTGACCTCGCTGAAGCTTCTTTACAGAAAAACGTTCGTAAACGTCAGAAGGCAGCAATTCTCTTATCTAGAGTAACAGAAATTTGGATAACTGAAACACCCTACCTCTGAGTCTGTCAAATGACCACTTTGACTACATGGATAACTTGGACAAGCACAGTTAACATCAACTCGATCTCGTAATACTGTAATAACATACGTTTTCAAGCACTATGAAGTAAAAATACTTAGAGTTAACGCAAGCTTTGATATGAATATACTCTCGATTGATAAGTAAACAGTTATAATAATGGAAGCTTTGTAAAGCTCCCAAAACACTTAGATTTTACGACTTTTAAAAGTCGTTCAAATACACAGTTGAATAGTAAACTTCAATGTAGCAGGAATTGATGCTGCTATAAAACGATCTTAATCTACCGTTATAAAGGGTTTGTTTAATGAATGTCATCAGTATATAAATCGGTTATGTAAGGTCTAAAAGAATGATTTGCATAATCCACATTTTTTGCGAAGCCAGAGCAGCATATCCTGTTTTTGTTCACTCTCCACCGAACGCTTGAACAGCGCTGTAAATATTATGGTAACGACAGATCTTTATATTAAGGCTTTCGACTTCCCAAAAAGGATTGTCTGTTGAACGAGGATGTCCAAAAAAATTGTTAACTTAGTGAAAGCTCATCACGAAAACTGTGAAAACATAACATGAGAAAATAACATTCTTTCCAACTATTTGAACCAGCAGCATTTTTTCACAGGATTGCTTAGTCTTACCATAATTCTACGATTAGGTGAGTGAAGCCCGAGGAATCATGGGATTCAGTGGTCTAAAACGCTATGTGATCTAGCTTAGAATAAATGTCAGTGGTTACTCTATTAAATTCCTCGTAAAAAGATGTTTCCTTTGAAGGGAAGTAATTAATCCCGGTTTCGCTATAACTTGAAGCATATTGTTCGGTGCGTACTGCTCCTGTTATTTATTGATTGTATGACTTTATCTTTTTAATTAAAAGTGATGTAATTTCGTCTGGGTGGTACAGTTCCGAATGCCCTACTGCACCAAGACTTCTCGTTCGGTAACGGAAATGAGTAGTACGATATACAGTGATACCATAGATAAAAATGGTACGATATGTAGACCAGATCATATGACAGAAAATCAAATCCGTACAATATATGCATACAGCTGCACAACCGGTTTATCGACAAATTGGTTTGAACATTCGAGTGAAGCATATTTCTTTTATCGTACTTTATGAAAACACTGAGTACTTGAGGCTAGAATCTATAGACTTCGCAAGACGTAAACATCCAAATATCGTATTGTACAGCTGTCTAAAGCTAAGGATATGTTAAAGCTTAATATATCCACCGTATTCGAGTCAACCGAAAATCGGCTATTACTTAAGTCAAAACCTCGGTCACAGCATAATTTACACCTGTCCAATCGTCCCTTCAGGCGGAAGACAAATCCAATGCCCTGGTCACTAGCAATACATATCATGTTTTTACAACAATACACTAATCAAAATATTTATGTGAAACAAACACCTAATTTTCGCATGCTTCGAATCATAATTAAATTCTTTTTTGAACAGAAATCCGTAAGGACTAAAATATGTACTAAATAGTAAAATCACTACGAAAAATAGGAAGGTGAAGAGAGATGACAAAAAACTACCTAGGGATATGATCTAAACTTTACTGAGGTTTTTGTGTCAGTTTGTTGCCTTGCTATATATTTTATTTTATTTTATTCGAACACATGAATATTGGTACAAGAGAGCGCCAATATATATGCGCCACACAAAACAATGAGAATTCGAAGAGAAGTGGGAAAAAAAACTAAGGAGCGCAAAAGAAAAAGAGAACAATGACGAAGAGATTGGAGTAAGGTAGTGTGGTAGTACCGACGGAAGAAAAGGTACAATCAGAAGAAATCTTTCAGGTAAAGGAGACACAACCACTTTTTATGAAGAAGGTAAAAGAAGGTTACAGCAGGATCGCCACTGGCTTCTATTCTGAGCCATATCTGATAACGTCTCTAGCCACTGTGTAGCACCATCTCTCAGACCCCAACCAGGGAGTCGTGAAGGACCAACAGAAGCCAGTCCTTTGCAGCTTTCTTTCATACCACGACACCATGTCATACACTGACCACCTCTCCGCTTCTTCCAACCAGTCCCAGAGTCGGCAAATAATGAACGACGTGGAATTCTCTGGGACGACATTCGTAGAACATGTCCAAGCCACCGAAGTCGGTGTTTCAAGATGGTGACACCAATTGAATTATCATCTCTGTGCCCGAACACACGATGTCGAACCTCTGCATTACTGACATGGTGTTGCCACTGAATGTCAGCAATCCTTCGGAGACAGCGATGATCGAACACAGAGAGTCGTCTAACGTCAACAACTCGGAGAGACCAGGTTTCACAAGCATAGAGCAAAACTGCTCTCACCGACGCGTTGTAGATCCGGCCTTTTACAGCCAGACTAACATCACGAAGGCACCAAAGGTGGCCCAGATTGATATAAGCTGCTCTGGCTTTCACTATTCGTGCATTGATCTCATCACTCACACCCCCACCAGCACTTATGCAGCTACCCAGATACACGAACTTCTCGACTACTTCTATCTGCTCACCATCCAGGCTGAGTACAGGATTAGAATCCTGCCAGTCTTGTAGAAGTACTTTGCACTTCGAAGGTGCAAAGCACATACCATTCCTACGGACACTGATTGCCAACTGATTAAGTGCGGATTGCATGCCTTGGGCATTATCGCACAGTAAGACAATATCGTCCGCATACTCAAGGTCGAGAAGTCTTTCTCCAGGCAACAGATCCACACCACCATTACTTACATCCATCAGAGCTGTTTCCAGAATGTCATCGATGGCAAAGTTGAAGAGGAATGGTGAGATTAGGCAACCCTGTCTGATCCCACTGCTTTAGTGGGATAGCGGAGAGCGGTGGTTGTATGCCCTCACTCTGCCTGAGGTGTTTGTATATAGGGCTTTTAGGATGTTAATAAACTTCTCAGGCACACCCTTCTTCAATAGACAATCCCAGAGAACAGTCCTATCCAACGAATCGAAGGCAGCCCTGATGTCAACAAACACTACGATTGTTGGCCTTTGATAAGTATGACAGTGTTCTAACATTTGGCGGAGAGTGAAGATATGATCAATACATCCTCGACCAGAACGAAAACCAGCCTGCTCCTCGCGAGTCAATCTTTCTCGGGTTTTGAACAACCGACGAAGAATGACGGAAGCCAATAGCTTGGACGCAATCGGAAGTAAACTTATCCCCCGATAGTTGTTACAGGAACGACGTGAACCCTTTTTAAAGATAGGGACAACTATCGACTCATTCCATGACGTTGGTACACTCTCTAGTTCCCGAACCTTTGTAAACAACGTCGTCAATTCCTTAGTCAAAAAGTCACCACCATCTTTAAAAAGAGCCGGAGGTAAGTCATCTGGGCCAGGTGATTTGTAACGCTTCAAGAGTTGGAGTTCCTTGCGGACTTCCTCCTCATTTGGTGGATCAGTCGTCACCGGCCATGGAGGGCAGGACAGTCTGACCGATGTTGCCGGAGCAGCAGGCCAGTTGAACTGCCCTTCGAAAAATTCTGCCCATCGTCCAAGACGTCGATGGATGTTAGTGATTGGCATCCCATCATCCTCGCAGATTGTTTCACTCACACCAGACTTCTTGCTGCCAGTGGCTCGGATGAGCTGGAAGAGCTTCCGGTAGTTACCAGATGCAGCTGCTGCTTCCAGCTCATTAGCACGCATCGACCACCAGGCTTCTCGGTCCTTACGCAAGCTTTGCCCAATTTCCTTACGTAACATCCTTCGTTTATGGTCAAACTCACGGTCACCCGGAGTAGACCGACGGGCTTCAGTGAGTTGTAAGGAACCTGGAGAAACCCAGTGCTTAAAAGCGGGACGTTTCGCAAACCCACAACTGACTGTTCCCGCCATTTTCATGGCGTCATGCAATTGCAACCAATGCTCATCTATACTTTTCGGTGGAATGGTAGCTAGCCTAGAAACTAGCTCGGTTCGATACTTACTAGCAACAGAAGTTGCAACCAACTTGCTAACATCAATCCGTTGATGGCGGTCACTTCGTTGGCCACTGAAAAGTAAGGCAAGATTGGCGCAGACCAAGGCATGGTCAGAGTCCAGATAGGTACTCCAAAAGGAGCCGCAGTCTTGTACACAACCACGCCAGCGGTAGCTGATCGCGATGTGATCAATCTGAGTCCAGGCTTGAGATGCAGAGGGAGGACGCCAGGTGGCACATCGGCGATGACTGTGCCGAAAGTTAGTGCTAGCCAGAAACAGGTTGTGGTCTGTGCAAAGTTGCAGTAGACGGTTCCCGTTATCTGACCTGCGACCAACGAGTCCCCATCGGACACCTAAACGACTCTCTTCTGTGCCTAGACGCCCGACCTGAGCATTCAAGTCTCCGGCTAGTACTACAATATCTGTCGAACGCACTTTCTGGAGAAGAACAGATAACTGGTGGTAAAACTCATCCTTGATTGCATCCGGGCTGCAATCTGTCGGGGCATAGGCGGAGATGACGAAAAGACATCGTTTCTCACGCCGATTTCTTCTCACTTTGATGGAACTTTCTAATCTAACAGCACATAACCGACTGTTAATGGGGATCCAATCGACTAGTGCTGCCTCAGCTCGAGCGCTTAGTGCGACACCAACGCCAGCAAGACCAGACGAAGATGCCACAGGGTCCCCGGATAAGCGCACGTAAAACAAGCTTTTCGAAGCGACAGATGGAGATCGAATTTGTAGTACTTCGCCAGAGTCTTGAATACGGGTCTCGGATAGACAACAAACATCAATATTAAGACTTTCCAAAGACATAGCCAGTCCTATCTGTTGTCCGACCTGCATAAATGTGCGAACGTTGAAGGCAGCCAGTTTGAATGGTGCACGTGGTTTCAGAAAAACTGCTTCAGTCCTCGTATTCGGTGGTAACATACAATTTTCAACCGGACAGTGACTCGAGAACGTTTAGATACAGTCGAATTTCCACCAAAGACGAGCCGCTGTATAAGTATAAAAGAGGGTGAATAATGTGAAAAATAATAATAATAATAATAATAATAATAATAATAATGACAATAATAGTAGTAATAATAATAATAGTATTAATAATGACGATAATTGTAATGATAATCTGAACCAATTGTTTGTTTTTCAAAGCGAGAAAGGCAATTTCCATAGGCATAAAGAGTTCATCAATTTGTGTGTGGGCTGTGATACTGCCCGGGTGCCCAAACCGAAACAGGTGGTTATCTTAGGGGGCCACTCCCCGAGCCTTTGACCTAAAGGTCTAACCCACAAGGCAGTGGAGCATCGTAAGGAGATGCAGTCCCATGGTAGCCGGTGACCAACGATTGGTTCATACGCCATTTGTTCCCGCAGGATACTGGTGCCCATGTGCACCATTGATTTGGAATCCGGTTAAAGCGCCGGACATTCGCTTTTCGTCCTCTCATTTTCGTAAACAACCCCCCCGCCACGAGAAGGCAATGAGTAGGACTTCCCTGGCAGAGGCTGTATACGCGTGGCCGTGTGAGAGTATTTCGAGAGGGAGAGCGGACTCTCCCCACTCTCGGCCGTACCAGGGCATTCAGGGGGTCTTGCTATATATGCAATAGTGGAAAACGATTCAGTCACTTAGCTTTGATTACTAGCAATAAGTGGTGACGTCTCAAATGCACGACAATAAAAATCCTCCTAATATGGTCGCTGAGCACCTACAGACGTTGACTTAAAGTATTTTTCGCTCGAAAATAGCATACCCGAAGAATTCTTTTCTTTTACTCAGTTTCAGAGGCAGATACATTTAAGAAAGAAAAAAGCTAGAGTGATACACGTAATGTTATCTTGATAAGTATTAGCCAGATGAATAATAATATACTAAAAAACGGTAACAAACCATAATACAACTTTTTTTAAACAAACGCGAATACCAAGATGATTCTTAAGTGGTTAGCAATATATATACAAGGTGATTTCCACACTACGTTTGAGTAGCAGTTTAATGTTATCAACTAATATGGTCCGGTTGCAATCACTGAAACCTAAACAACTTGGAAAAGACGCCCGTGTTTGAAGCCAAGAGATTCAGGTTAATCCTCTGAAAGAGTACCAACTATAAACCCTCTCCTAAGAACAACTAATAAAAATGTAGTTACGGAAGTCTAAATCGTGATTGTAAATAACAGAATCACAGTGACAAAGTCAAGAAGTATTAGTGGGGTTTTTACCAAGCTACTAGGCGTTATAATACCTATATTATGCAAATGTCTTCGGATTTTCGAATGGTTTCTATGTATTATACGCCAAATGTTCATTTAACTCACCTCAACTAGCCACTTCTAAGGCCTTGTGAGGAATGTGCTGAGAAGAAATAAGCTCTTCGTTTACTAGGTACTTGAGCTACACTGTATCTAGCAGTCTAACTATTTCATATATTCAAGCATTTTGTTTGTAGATAAACTGACTGACTGGACGCCTGAGTAATTGCCTACAGAAACTTAACAATACCTTTGCTGATCAAAAAATCTTAAACATACATATGTATAAAACAAAACGACTATTTGGCTCTGGTCTAATACACTACATAATAAGTTTTCATTTACAGCCAAATAAACTAACCTGACGGCAAAAAGAACACCCGCAAGCAGAAAGAAATAACATGTTTTCATATGGCACTGCATCAAAGCAAATATTACAGTGTCCATACTCAGTCCCTATCATTCTGAGGACTAACCTTGACCGACCGCCATCAGATGAAATCGCGCAAGTTTGGCGGCTATGTGACCTTAGTTCAAACGGTTCAAATGGTTCTGGATGGAATAGAAGCTTTCACTTAACGGGCTTCCGCATCTAGAAGCAGTGGGTCATCGATGCCTCCAGGTAGGAACCTAGGCATATGAACGATAAAAGAGGAAAAGGAAAAAAGTTGATAAATCATAGTAAGATACTGCCCTTAGTCCTTAAGGATATGTCGCTTTTTCTCATAATGGACTCTTAGAAAGTCGCTTGAGCTAACTCATCTGGTAGCGACTTCCGGCATTTGACTACCCTTAAGGAGTAGAAGGTGTGCCTACAGTCCGTTCTGCCATATTGTGTCTCAAGTTTATAGGTATTACCCCTAAGGTTTGTGTTGAGACTAAGCTTGAGAAGTTGTTTAAATCGATGTTCAGAAGCGTTAAGGATGCTATACGTCATAAGAAGATAACCTTTAAGACGCTAGTACTCTAATGGGTAAAGGTTTAGTGATTGGATGCGCTCTTCATAAGACTTGAATTTGAGCACCCGAACTGATTTTGTGGGTGGCCTTTGGGAACATTCTGGTGTGTCCTTATCATTTTGGAGTAAGTACACACTAAATTTCCATACCCTACATGAGATATGATGAAACATTTGAAGACTAAGTGGAAATTTTTCCTGTCGAACTGGTCAAAAGTGAAATTCGACGTTACTAATGCAGGGTTTGCTCGGAAGACATTTTGTTGCAACTAGCGTGAGACTTCAAACCAAAGGGTACCAATACTCCTCGATCTTTTCAACTTGGAATACTTCCAGAGAGGATTTTCTTGATTTGTGTCTAGAATGGGCTGCCTTACACTTTGAAGTGCTAATGGTAAGTCCAATGTTGTCTGCCCAAATTCGAAGTCTTGTTAGATCCTTCTGAAGTGCCAGTTTATTCTCTTTGTTGCAGACTTCTCTCCAGAGTTTCACACCGTCAGCAAAAAGAAATAAATCAGTCGATACCTGCTGTGGAGGATCGTTTACGTATATTAATAACTTTAGTGAATCCCAACAGGTCATTCTATGGTCTGAGAGTATGTGAAATTAACCCTACCTTGAAATGTCGGTTTTTTAGATATAAAGTGAAGTGATCAATCAGTGGTGCCTGGACGCTTGATCGTTTGAGCTAGTTGATAAGATATATATGGTTGATCCAATCAAAAACTCTTGAGAATTCATAGTGTATTACGTCAGCTTTCTCCTTGAGAGTTAAGGATAGTTATCCATCCGTCCACCGCTGTCAGCAGGTTGATTGTGCAAGAACAATCTTTTCTGAAGCCGAGTTGCTGGAGCGAAAAGACGTTTGTGGATAGTAAGTAGTCGCGTAGAATTTCCAATATCAGGGACTCCACAATTTTTAAGGGTATAGAGTGGAGTGCTAACAGTCGGTAGGCTTGAGGTTCACTGAATCGACCCTCCTTGAAAATTGGTGTAATGTGGGCCAGCTTCCAATTTTCTGATAATATGCCTGAGCTGAGCGGTTTCGCCAAAGCTGAAGCTGCTTCCCTCAGTATAGCAGAGTCGTCCAGGAGAAATGTACTTGTTTTGGCGCTGAAGTTTCCGATGCCACAAGTCAGCGCCCAGGTTCACTTTTGAGAGTCCTATTGAGTTGCATATGAAGCTCTCAGTATAGATACCGCTGGTTAATTTAAATTTCCGGGAGTAATGTTCTGCCAGAAGGTTGGCGGCGTCACCGTTGTTGTTGATTGGGCCATTAGTAAGCAGGATCGCAGGTACGTGGTTACTCCATCCCCATTCCTCTTTTTCTGTCGTTTTGAAACGAAGACATCTCGGATAATGCTAGCTCCTGGTTCGTTATTTGAGATATCCCTGTTCCAGATATTCCTATCAGATGGTATTATCAGCACTACTGAGTTCACGCAGCTTATCCATTTTGTTTGGTAAAATCACGGCGTCCATATACAAGCAGTTTATCTTTCCGGTTTAAAATCCGTGAGTTTCTCCGTCCTGCTTATGTGTATTAGGCTTATGTGAATGGACAATAAACTACCTACACAGGGTTTTCCGAGTTGGTAGCCCTTTTATTTTCTACGTTTTTCATGGTCGTGACAGTCCACAAGTAGAACAGTCAGCTCCAGTTTGCTTTTCTGCTTGATCCTGACATCATATGGCCACTCAGGGTGCATGTGGATTCCAGTTGGCAACTGGCGTCTGTTAGCACGAAAAGCTTCAGGAGTGGTGACGGCCATATAGGAGAACGGGAACGTTATATTTATTAAACGCGGCCTAGAACCTCCGTTTAAGTGCATGACCTTGAAATCACTCACGTGTTGAGTTGCTCATAGTGCAACGTGGTTAAAATAATAATGTATGGTGTTTTTAATAGGTTCTATTTTTCTTTCTATTGCAGCGCGACCAAGGATAAATGCTAAGGAAGAAGAAGAGCAAGCTTTGAATGCACTGAACTTACATGATGACTCATAAGACTTTTTTGGAACTGGCTTTCCTTTCTGTACATGAGCAGTGAATTTCAATTTTCAAATAAAAGACTCGTAGCTTCCATTCCGTGTTCTCTCTTGGTGTGAAGTTAAAATTGTGTGTGTTGTGGTTTCAGGTCAGTAACTGCTGAATATACGTGTTACAATAGCATGACACTGCTAACCGCTCGTGAATACACTTTTACACACACGTCTCTTGTTTTCAATTGCGTGTGGTTATGATAATTGGACTATAAAAATATCTACTATCCACATTTATAGACTACAGTCATATTCACATTTTATGCTAACTCTGGTTATATTATTGGAATCACAACAAATTCATTGGAACTATTAATTATATATAATTGTGGATAATGGTACCAAATGCAGCTCAAACACGCCAAAGCCTTCTAATTTAAGTGACGTCCCACAACGTTTCTTTGTGTTTATAAATTGTGACTGGTACATTATAACAATAACATTTGGACATGATAACTTTACTGTCACTTTTGAGTTGAATAATTTTTGGTCCACCACAAGTGTTGAAGGTCAGTTATCTTGGTGTTACCATTTTCTCTGATCTCTCTTGTTCTTCTCATGTTTTACGGTTATCAAAATAAGTTTTCGGTCCGACTTACTAAATAAAGAGGCTGAATGCTTTTGGGATTACTTAATATTTACTCTTACAATTTATTAATTCCTGGATATTACCTATTATTATTATCATTGTTATTATTCACTAACATTTTATGGGTACATAAATATTGTGAAAAAACCATTTTCGTTTTCTTCAAAAATTTATTGATACACAATTTCCAATAATGTTAGCACTGTATTTGCCATATTCGAGAAAGAGAAAAAACACAATAATTATAATAATTAATAAACAACATATCTGTAATATCTCAATGGGCAACAAAATAAGATTTTTTGACGTTTCGTGACTTAGTGTAAGACAATCCTGTAGGGAATAAATAAATAATAATAAATCAGGTTCTGTATAATCGAGAAAAATATTGAGTTGGCTTTAAAGAAGGAAAGGGAGGAAAAAAGACAATAGAAATCAAGGAGATGCAAAATACGTAAATAGTTTAATAAGCGTGATTGCAAACACAGAACAAGTATAAACGACTATCTATATATCGTCAAATGAGTAACAACAATAAAATAAAACAAAAACAAGAAAACCAATTTACTATTGCAGTAATATATGATGTGAGAATAAGTGTTCGTGCAGTCATAGTTTGTAGTGATGCTATGAAAGTCTCAATTATGTGCAAACGATAACCAAATATCAATATGTATGAGTCATATATACATAGTAGAAATAAAACGAGTCTAAGAATTTAATTTAAGTGTAACACAAGCAGAAAAATTCCGTGCATATTGAGCTTTTACTTTAGCACCAGAATTAAAAGTATCAAAGCATGTGTTGTAAAAATTAGAGGAATTTGTGGTAGTTCACTCAATGAAATTTGGTTGCTTCACATAATGCTGTAGATACTGACAGTGAAGACACACCGGGGATCGTTCCAACACAATAGACAGTTTTTTGGTATAAAATGTGCCCCGGTAGTTTTTCAACAAGTTATGAACACTATGTTAAACGATATCCCGTTTGCCAAGACATATGTGGATGGTGTTATTATTGCCAGTAGAAGTGAAAAAGAACACTATGATCATTTATAAGAAGTCTTTGCTCGTATTGGAGAGTATGGTTTTCGTATAAAAGTAGAAAAGTGTTCACTTTTATGTTAAGTATTCGATATTTGGGAACAATTATCGACACTCAGAGGCGTAGATCTGATCCTGAAAAGGTTCACGCCATTGTGAATACGCCAGCTTTATCTAATGATAAAATGCTTTAGTCATGTTTGGTAATGATTAGCTGTTATAGCCATTTTGCGCCAAATATGCTTGCGTGCTCCATTGAATGCACTGTTAACCAAGAACACCAGATAAAACTGGAATAAGGAATATCAAGTGTCCTTTGAAAAAGCGAAACAGATATGGACTCTTGAATTTTTGCTTACTCATTGTGACTCAAAACTTGAGTTAGTGGTAGCGGCCGACACATCTGATTATGTCATTGGAGCGGTGATTCTTTATAAATTTCCTAATGGGTCACAAAACGCTATTTTTCATGATTCACATACCCTTACTGCGGCTGAAAAGAATCACAGTCAAATCGATAAGGAGGTTTTGGCCCTAGTGTTTGAGGTCAGGAAGTTTCACAATATGCTATACGGTAAAAGGAATTACATGGCAAACTGACCATAGACCAATGCTGGCCATATTTGGCTCTAGAGAAGGAATGCCTATCCACACTGCAAATCGCCTGACCAGGTGGGCTACTATTTTGCTACAATATGTATTCGAATTACTGTACGAGCCGCCAGCTAGTATGGGTCATGCAGGTGGGTTGTCAAGGTTAATTACTAGTAACCTCAGGTTAGAGGGAGATAGAGTGGTTGCTTCTGTATCACTTGAACCGGAAATATAAAGTGTTCTATGGTGCTATCAGAATCCTACCAGTAACGGAGGAAGCGGTTGAAGAAGCAAAGGCTTGTGATCTTCTACTCAAAAGAATAAACAGAGCTGTTTTAAAG